AGGGGGTTAGCTTATCCTTGAACAAGCTGCAGTATGAGCAATGCAGATATACAGAGAAAAGATGCTCAAACCGCTTCCTAATACCCTCTCTTTATAATCCCCTTAATGCATTGCAGGCATTGTTTATGTAGGGGTTCTACTTTATGCAACTGGTGAAATGCAGCAGGTTTCATATAGTGCTAAAATTCAAAAATGTCATGTTGAGATCCATAAATATGCTGCATATGCCATTAGGTTTTTGTGTCAAATGTCAGCTGTGTTATACCACTGCTTCTTGTTAATTGTGGATAAATGTTCTCCCACAGTCTCATCTTGTCTCTGGAGGCCAAACTCAACCTGCTGCACAGCTACATGAATGTAACATGGATCCGAATTCCGTCTGAAACAAGGGTAAATTTTTCGGACACGTGTGTCTTGTTTGTCGTGGTCAGTTTAGTTGTGGAGAGACTCCTCCATTCCAGATGTTCTTGTAACCACAGAGTGCAATCAATCAGTTTTATTTACTGTCACAATGCAATGAGCTCAGGCATTCACGTGTTTGTACTGATTATGAATCATCAAAAATGAGGCAACTAAGTAATTTTTCAATGTTTTTTGGTGAATTTGTATGGAGTACATTGGGAGTCTTTTTAAAGATCTCTACTTATAAACTAGAGAGAGACATCAATGCCTGTGCTATGTTCTGTGTTTTCTTCATTGCTGTATGTGTTTGTATCTCTGTGCAGGCTCCCCTGGCTCAGCCAGAGTCTCCCACAGCCTCAGCAGGTGAGGATGTCCAGTCTCTAGCTGAGTCCATGGACTCTGACCGCGAGTCTGTCGGCAGCAACTCTAACGTCAACAACGGCAAGTCCAGCAAGGAGAAGGACAAAGACAAGCAACGCAAGGACAAAGACAAGAGCCGGGCTGACTCTGTAGCCAACAAACTAGGTAGCTTCAGCAAAACTCTGGGAATCAAACTGAAGAAGAATATGGGAGGTCTGGGTGGCCTAGTACACGGCAAAATGAACAAATCTAACTCTGGCTCAGGTCGAAGTGGGGAGAATGGAGGGGAAAAGACAAAGAAGAAGGAGTCTAAGGCATCCAAGGGAAGCAAGGAGGAGTCGGGCCAGTCAACAAGCTCCACTTCCTCTGAGAAGGCCACTAGTCCCTCCCCTACAGACAGAGACAGACCGTCCAGCTCCTCTCCCACCGAGAGACAGGACAGTGCAGGGAGAGTCTCAGGGGACAAGACTCTGGAAAACTGGAAATACAGCACCGATGTCAAGCTCAGCCTCAACATCCTGCGGGCTGCTATGCAGGGGGAGCGCAAGTTTATTTTTGCAGGCCTCCTGCTCACCAGCCATCGGCACCAGTTCCATGAGGAGATGATAAGCTACTACCTGACCAACGCCCAGGAGCGCTTCAGTCAGGAGCAGGAGCAGAAGAGGAAGGAGGCCGAGAAGAAGCCACCTGTCACTAATGAGGTGGCCGTGAAGAAGCCTGAGCATGAGAGTGTCTTCCAGAGGGAGAGATCGGACAGCTCGCCTCCAGAGAGCTGCTCTCCCGTCCTGCCCCACCACTCCCACGCCTACAACCATAACTCACAGCCCCCACTGGGTCTCAAGATGCAGGGCAGGAACAGTCCCACTCCTGCAGCCCCTCTTGTCCCTGTCCCAGTCCCTCCTCTCACCCCGCCAATAGCCTCCCACCATGTCTCCCACCCAACCCCAGCCCCTGCGCCTTACTCCTCCCCCAGTATTGGTGCTAAGAGACCTGGGCCTGTTCCTGTGTCTGCCCACTACAGCCATACACCGCCCATCCAGAGGCACAGCGTGATTCACTTACAAGATGTCAACATGCAATCCTCCATCTTCCAAGATGACCCCTATAAGCCTGTGGTGGGCTCCCTTAAGACATGCGCCACCTACCCCCAGCAAAACCGCACACTCTCCTCCCAGAGTTACAGCCCTGCACGCCTGTCAGGGGTCCGCACTGTTAACACCATAGAGACCCTGTCCTACAACATGCCTGGCGAACACAAGTCCCACACCTACACCAATGGATTCAATGCGGGAGACATTCAGGACTGCCTGGAGTTTGCTGATGAGGACAACTCGTCTCACACCTGGCTCAACCAAGACAAAACCAAAGGGCGGAGCTCTGGAAGCCCTTTGTACTGCTTTCAGCAGCGCCGCTGCAAGAGGGAGAACTGCTCCTTCTACGGCAGGCCAGAGACAGAAAGCTACTGCTCCTACTGCTACAGAGAGGAGCTGAAACGCAGGGAGAGGGAGAGCAAAGTGCAGAGGCCTGCATAGCCATCACAACCACTTCAGCCACTTGTCAGCAAGGTCGCAGGAGACTTGAGGGAACTACACCATCTGCACTCTGCATTTAGAATAACATGATGGCAAACATTTTCCTATTTTGTTGAAGAATGCTGTTGTATTCCTGTCACCCTTCCCCTGTTAGTAAAGATTATTTCTTTATGATGGGGGATGCAGAACTTGAAACAGTGAGCAGCTTTGGCCAGAAATAGCGCTATTTTGTTTTGGGGTTTTTTTCTGTCTCATTGAATTTAGTCTTTTACTTGTTTTAGAGTAAAAGTAATTTCTCTGTGATGTAACTTTCTTTATGTGAGGGAAAGCTCTTTATTTTTCAAAGTACGAAAGATTTGCATCTTATCAGGAGGGAACATTTTAGCTCTTTTAATCAGTTTGAATGCAATACCTCTGCTTGGTTCTTCAAAATCTCTGTGGAAAATTTGTAGTTGTTTTGCAATCAAAATAAATTTAATGGGAGATTAATATTAGACTTTAAAGCAATAAATTGGTGATTTTTGCTACACCCGCTCCCAATTTTGTCTATGCACCAATAATATAGTTACTGTAGGTTAACTGTGTCTTGTAAATTGTAAAGGATTGTCACGGTGTGCTTTTGTAAACAAATTTGAACTACAGGAATTAAAATGTGTGAGCATTATAGATTGTAATGTTGGATTAGGATGAAATGTAAAACTATCTCATTTGTTAAGTGTACTTTTGTTCTTACCACGGTGCAATGATTTCCTGTGTCAGAATTGGACTCAAAATATTGTGTAAGATATCATTTCACATTTTTGCCCATAGTCGACTTCCTAAAGACCACAAACACTGCCAAACTGGCTTCTTTAAAAAAAAAAAAAAAAAAAAAAAACACGATTCAAATTTTCAAAATGTTTTCTGTGGCAAACACCGAAAATATGCATAGGATGATTGCTTCTCGAATATGCAGTGTTTATGGTGTGTTTCTCTGAGTCGTCTGTTAACTACTCTATTCGGTCAATGTGTGTTAGATGAAAAGAATTATGAGTAGTGATGGCGGGCCGATGCGTATTTGTCTGAAGTGTGATTTACGTGTCTCTTCCCCCCTACACACACAACACGATGTGCAATCATGCTATTAGCACTACGTGGTGACCTGCAGTATAGATGTGTCACCGGTCCAGTGTGCGATTGTCTGTTCTTCTTCCATATCTAGAGGCCGTTAAAAGAAGCACCTGCTGCTAAGAGCACCTCAAGCCTTTGTGATCATCAGTGCTTTAACCAATCAGTGGGTTTGTAAAACCCCAGGCCTCCAAGTGCTTTCTGCTCATTCAACATGACTACTGTAAGACGCAGTGTTTGTGTTGCTGTTTGTTCTGGTGATGCTTGGATAATGTACCATGCTGTCCTTAACTAAGTGTGTCCTGGCCAAGGATGTCCACTGCTCCTTCAGTTTGCTTCTGTCTCTCTCCTGTACACACTGCAGTGTTGCTCCTCTTTGTTTCTATGTGACCAGTTCATGGACTCTCACCATGTTAGGACTGTAAGATATGATTTTGTATTCCTTTAAGAGTTTTACACTACTTTAAATTATTGATTTGCACATTAGGTACAGATGTAAATATGAAAAAAAAAATAGTTTATTGTTACAAACATGGTGTGTCTGCGTCATTTTTGTTTTTCTTCAAGGAGGCGTGAGAAAACTAGAGATTATAGATTAGATTTTTTGGCTGAGGAAGTGTTTTAATCCATACAATGTTCTGACAGTTTTAGGTGATCACCTCCACCAATGAGGTTATGTTTTCTGTGCCATTTGTTTGTCTGTCAGCAGGATTACAGGAAAAACTACTGGCCTGATTTCCATAAAACTTGGTGGAAAAGTGTAGCATTGGCCAATGAAAATCATGTGGCAGATACAAAATTATTTTTTACATAGCACTATTCATATATATTCACACCGCACACAAATGCACAGCTGAGCTGATGCTTCAGCTAGGCACAACCATAATTTGACACACTAATTCTATAGTTTTGGAAATAGATCCAGACATATATAGTGGTTGCATCAAAGAAGACCAGAGTGTTGGCCTTGGCAGAGGTCTGCGCTCTCCAGAGTGGCCTTCTAGTTTTAAGAAACCAGGGAGATCATGTTATTTTCTCTTGATCCACAGACACTACAGTACATCTTTTTGCTGTTTATTTGCTTCCATCTTCACTTTTGTTTTCTAGTCAGACCTAAAAGCATATTATAAAACCCTTCTGCCTGGCCTTTTAAACTCCATGCCTCAAGTCTATAACACAGACTCTAAAAAAATTAAGTCTCCCAACTGAAGCAGACAAACCTGATGACCTCAGTGACATTACCAGGGTTAATTTCTCAGACTTGGCAAAGTTTCACCAGAGCCTCAGACATCATACAACTGCATAGTACATCCCATTGCATCCAAATTGATCTTCAATCAGTGCAGTGCCTCTTTAAGAGGCTAAGGATCTGAATTTTTAGATTTAGACCCTTTCAATGGTTGTTTATAAGACTCAGTGTTAATGGAAAAAATGTAATCAATCTTATGTTGGCTTTTTTGAATGACTCAACCAAAACAGAACAAGGGGAAAATTCCAACCAAAATTGACCTGAGGTTACAGAGCTGAGATTCTTAGGAATGAACTGCCAAGTAGGGCAGCATTCCAGATTGAGAGCTATAACTCTGCCTTCGTCATCCAGAGACACTCCTACATTGGCGGAGGAGGGTTGACGCCACGCAGTGAAAATCCACAAGTGCATTCATGTGAAGTGTCCTCCATATGATGGTTTAATCTGGTGAGGGCTTGCTGCATGTGAGCACAAGTCACATCAAGACAAATGTATGAAACATTTCATAAAAATGACAACATTCAGAGATGGTTATTCACTTGTCATTGTAGATGCAAGTAAATTACATCTTACAGAGTAAAAAGGGTTTTGTCCTGGCATGTTAAAAGCTATTACTAAAGGCTTCCAGTCAGATTGTCATAAACAAGGAGTCATTACTCTTTTGGATTGTTTAAGCTATGCTCGACTGGTTGGTCCACCGTTTTCTGAAATCTCTTAACTATTGGATGTATTGCCATGAAATTCTGAACAGACATTTATGGTCCCCACAGGATGAATCCCAATTACTCTATTCTTTGACTTATTGTCTAGCTCTGCCTGCTGGTCAAATATTTCACTTATTTGGTGAAATCTTTCAACATTTACTGGTGCATTGGATTTGCTCGCTCTCTCAAAAATAGACATGACAATTCAAACACAAATAGCAGCGGTTGATCAGGCAGGTAAAACAGCAGTGGCTATACAACTCTAAAGTTACAAGAATTGAATTAGTTTAGTTATTTAACACATACAGCAAAAACATACTTGCTAAATACCTGACATAATATTTACCTCACACAATGCGGTAAGTACCCAACCCAGCTCTGACTACACCTCATTTGTAGATCAGATGTTTAGGCCCACTGCAATGTGAATCATGTTATCAAAAGGCACACAACTAGTAAACTTGCATAACTCTACTAGACAACATCTTTTTACCTCAGCGCTAACCACTGCCTTCTCTGTGGTGAACCTTTAGCACAACAGGCTATTCAGCTGACAAGGTCTGGACAACAGGTGACTTAAAATACCTGTGATTAAAACATTGTCAGCCTTGACTCATAACTCCTACAAAACATACCTGCTCTCTAGCCACACTGGACCACAATGCCTACAGAGAGATCCTGAGTGCTCTCTATAAATCAACTCCTAAAGCGGCACAGGTGTGTGCTTGCTTCTAGAGGGACAGGGGGGTGGAGCTTCACTGAGAGGCTATAGCCGACCATGGCCTTACTAGGCCAAAAGCCTGCCTATCACACTATTTATACTGTACATATTTATACTTAGGTCTTGTTAAACTATAATAACTTTTAAAAATTGAGGAGACAAGCAATGACAGAGTAAACCAAGTAACAAATTAAGCCATGTGCTGTCAGAAATACACTAGAACTCGTGAGCTCTGGAAAGAGTGCAATCTTTGAGGATTTAAAAGGATTTTTCAAGAGTACATAGTCTGTGCAGTAGCAGCTGGCTGAGTTGGTGGAGTTAGAGTAAGGAGGAGGATGCTTAGTAGGCACCAACCACCTTAAATGTGGGATGAATTGCATACTTCTGCCTGAGCGTATAATCTCATGACTGGGACAATGATGTGGGTTAGACTCTCTTCTCCAACTGTTGCCCCTTGCTTCAGGTCATGTTTGTGGGCTGCGGCTGCTATTAATATGGAGCAACTTGTTGAGTTTTGAAGATGAATTACATCTCCATGTGATGTTTAATGTTGGTCACATAATGGCGCATAAGGGCCGCAATGTACCGCAATGTATCCCACGTCTTCCAAAACAAGTACTGAATGGGACAGAGTGCATTGTCTTCTTTCTTGGATCCCCATTTCTCAGAATTTCCTTTGAATTTGCATGAGGGACCTCCCTTTGCTTTTCAAAGCAACAAAGAGCTCTATCAGGCATACAGCAGTCGTTTGGCAGGCCTCTCATCCTCTCAAACAGCACAGCACAGCTTCCATGTTGTCAAATTCTCTCAACTCATTTAAAACCAGGACTCATTCAAAAAAAACAAACAGGATAAAGTAATTCTGAACTGGCTTTTATTTTCCCTTCAGATGCATCTGCCTCCTTCCTCACATAATTAGAACCCATTAGTCCTCAACGCAACACAATAGTTCATAAATATTGATTTGTATGGTAAGCAGTTGTCTCATTAAGAAGGTGAAATTAAAATGCGGGACAATATCGCATTATCAGTGAATAAACTGAATATTTAGATCCACTTTGCAGCATTCTCATCAACTATTCTCATCAGATAGATTGTAAACCACTCTACCTGACAGTATTTACAGTTACTGTTGTGTTTTAAGCCGGTTGCTGCCTTTGATGCCTCTGCTGCAGTGAGTAGTAATGCCAAACTCCCCCCCATCTCCCATAGCTAAGCCTTGTTCTCAGCCAGTGCCAGCCTCCAATATCTGAGCTCATCCCACCCGCTCTGCAGGATCTAGCGCCAGCCCTGCCATGCACTGCACTCGAGAGTGGGTGGCATCACATGGCCCTTCAGCCTGCCTTCTGGGGCTTGGCATGGAGGAAGAGGGGCATAAACACACACACACACACACACACACACACACACACACACACACACACACACACACACACATACATACACACACAGGCCTCTGTGTGATTAGGACCACTGCTACTCCTGCTGCTGCCGCCGCTGCTGCTGCTAACCAAATCTCTCCCTCTTTTTCTGTGGATTAATTCCACTGAGTCTCAAAGTCAGCGATGCCCACACACCTCAGTGGAGCATAGACCCTTTCCAGTCCACAAAGCCTCCTACGCTCTAGACTTTGAGTGCGTCTAGGTTGTGTGCACCAATCAGCGCCGGGTAACACCCCCCACCCACCCACCCCTCATCCTCATCTTCCCTCTTGCTCTCACACTGTACTGTACTTTTCTTCAGACATTGTGTTCCAAATAACTCATGGTTGAGGTTCTCGCCACGCTGTAAATACCTGAGTTTATTCTGCGTAGTTAATTTCACCTGGAGTCTGTGTGCTCAGGAGCTGATAATCCAGAGAAAAGGTGTGACTGAAGAGATAAATCAGTCAAAGTGAAACCATCTCCTCCGCCCCCACATCCTGTCTGCAGGGTAATACCTGCAGAGATATGCTCTTACTGCTCATATAACTGTTTGTACTTTGCCCCGCATCTGCAGCAATATAACTCACTACAGAGGAGAAAATGTGTCATCTAGAAAATAAACACGTGACTGAAAGACATGCAACCCAGAGAGAATATGTGCCTCACCCACACAACCAGAAAAACCTGAGATCTTTCTTGTAATACGGCGAGATGTGTGTGAATTAGCTCAGCTGGTGGTCTGCAGAGGGACTCTAGTGAGACTCTACTGTTGCATGACCAGAATCATGCAAAGGAATGATGCAGGATTTTAATATTTAGGAGCTCAGTTTTCCTTGACAGCAGCTCCAATGCCAGCATTCACAGCTTAAGACAATCAGAAGAAAATTGTTAAATATAAACATAGAACTACACATACTAACTATACTAACAAAAGTCCCTCGTATTGCCACACAAATACGAAAAACAAGCTCTGGGAACATGCCGGCTGTGATGGCACACCAAGTTGTGTGGCAGTGCCAGGGGTGGCAGCTTGTCTGTTTGTGTAGCGTGGTGTGCTGGTAGCTCCAACCTGCATGGAGACAGGAGGTGTACAGATTGGGCAGGGAGAACACCAGGCTCCTCATCAAGCATTTTAATGCCTTCGTCCTTTCTCTTCCTTCCTGTCTCACTCCACATTGCATGATTCATTGTAAGCAGGAAAAGGCCACTCCTGCAATCTCTGCTGGTGTTGGTGGGCACCCTCGGCTTAAGAGAAGGATCAAGGCATACTGGCAGTGATTTTGCAGGGCAACAAATGTAGATGGAGTGAAAAACTTGTTATTTTATGTGTGTCACATGGAGTTGAAAGTACACTTTGCACAGAGGGAGGGTACAATTTGTAGATGAATCACCCTTTCTGAAGTTCTGCAAGTGCAATGGGTATATACAGGAAACTTCACACATTTTATCAGTCTATTTGGGCTGACAAACAATAAGGAAGGAAGGAGTCCCCAGCACTTGGTGCCCCACCCATTGTTGATACCCCAGCAGTTACTGTAAATATTTGCATGAGTGAAATGAGGGAACAAGGTGTACTTCCTGTTGCAAGAATAACACTGAAGAACTGAGCAACTGAGGATTATCACTCCACCCCTTTCTGCACTTATCTGCTGTAATTCTAAAAGCCTGCTTTAATGTTTAGAATATTTTACAATTACAAATGAGGATCTTTCTTAGAACTTAGAACTTTCCTTTTTATCAGAAAAACACATTCTTTCTCTTAAAATTAAAACATTTAATTTAAGCAATAAAACAAACCCCTTGCTCAGGTTTTGTCTCTATAGCTTAGCTTATGGTGGCTAATGTTTCCTGACTTAAAGGAATAGTTTTACATTTTGGCATTCACTTTCTTGCCGAGAGTTAGATGAGAAGTTTGATACCACTCTCACATCCATAAATATGATGTTAAGGCACACAGCCAGCAGCTGGTGAGCTGACTTCAGTGTAAAAATAGCTAGCTTGGCTCTGTCAGAAGTTAACAAAATCAGCCTACCAGCACCTCTTAAGTTCACCAATTAATATGTTATATCTCTTTTGTCTAATCCGTATGAGATGCTTTAATGTCTCTTCTTATACTACTAGCCTATGCTTTAGCGTTAATCCTTATCCCATAATGCAGGTGTATTTAAGTGGGCCCCCTCACCACCTCTTAGTTTACTTGCTTAGTTTCGCTCAATTCCTGGATACTTATGGGATCATGATTATGGTATTTTATCCCATAGACACTCAACAAATTGAGCCAAGACAGCCTAATATTGCCGTTTGACGCAACTCCAGACTACACCAAATACATAAACAAAGTTCTGCCCTAGGGGATGTATTCATTCACATAATGTCACTTGAACAGAAAAAGGAAATGAGCACAAAACAAATTGTAGCTGCTTATTTTATGAATTTATTTCCAAATGTAAACTTCACTATTTCATGCATACAAGTTATGACAACATACATTATTCAACAATCTGTTATTTTTCATATTTGCATAGGACATGGTCACAATATATTGTCTAACATGTAAAAAATAATGCCATAAAAAGGTACAGCAGAGCAGCTAAGACCAGCACATTAAATGTGTGTAGAATCCAAGGAACTGTACAACTGTAATACTTGAATGTAGTGATTTTGGTTTGCTGAGAGAAAAAAAATGAAACCTGAAGGTTAGAGTGAGGTCATAGACAAATGTACTGGCCATAGCTGAGTCGAGAGTTATTTACAGATTAGATTATATTGGTGCTGAAAGGGGAAGCAGCACCATGGAGTCCTACAACAGGCAACTGATGGTGATGGGCAGAGGAGAAACGCACAGAGGTATCAAGAGAGCAACATTACATTGAGGAGGTACACTGAGGACAAACAGGTACAGGAAACAGAACCAAAAGGCTGGTGAGAGGCTCTCTCTTTGTAATCAAAAAGGGAGGTCATTCACAGCACTGTGTGCTGCATAACCTGGAATAGACAAATCCTTTAAGGACTAAATGTCCAAACGCTTGAGCAAAAGACTTTTCTTTTTGTCAGTGTGCATTTCTACAGTAAAGTAAAGAGCAAACGCCACACAGTGTCAGTTCAGGCAGTCAAGCAAGACCCATATGGTCAATGAAGGGTACAGACAGATATGGTCTGCTTTGCTGCATGTTCCTACGCACTCTTTTGTTTTTGTCTTTTTACTCATTCAGAGTGTGTTTGCATGTATAATTAAATGGGTTTTGTTCATTCAAGTGATTTTTAAATAAAAAAATAACAAGGTTGCTTATTTGAGATTTAGAAAAAGGTCTATATTAAGCACAACATCCATTGATCAACACCTACAGCATAAAGTTACACCCAGGGGTCTAAACTGGGTTGGGTTCAATATTACTGCAACATTCATCTTTCCCTTCAAAGCCTTTGGTAACAACTTGCAACTGTGGAGCGTCTGATGAGCTGCGAAAACTCAAAGCTACTTCTCACTACTCAAAAACGACTCTCTCCAATCATGGCTGCCTCTTAAACATAACCCCCACCCTAAAAAGCCTCAGGCCTTTGTCATGAGGGGAAGACATG